TTTGTATACCCCCGTTTACAATCACAAGGCAACGTTAGTTCACAACACTTTGATTAACACATCAGTGATTCGTTCCTGAATTCATGCATAAACTGTCTGCGAGAGATCCCGGAAGACGAGCCCCCATTATGTTGTATATGTTGGGTATGAAAATTTGTTATGTTGTATGCGTGCGTGGGTGAAATTATTATGTTGTATATGTGGGTTATGAATATTCAGTGGAAATAATAATAATTAAATGAAATTTGGCCAAATGTGTAATTACCCGGAAATATGTTAATTTATGTAATTACGCACATTTTAATTATGCCAATTCGAGAGGTAATCGTATTAATTATGCGAGTGGGTGTAATTATGATAATGCAAGTCGTTATGATAACCAGACCCCGGTTCACCCCGTTATCGCTTTAACGTTTACTGAGTATGTATTAGTGTGTTTATTAAGGTCACCAAGTTCAAATCTCAACGCAGAAGCAGATCTTATGCATAGATTTCAGGAAAGAATCACACAACCACTTCTGTATTGATCAATTTATTACTAATTCAACCTTAACTATGATATAGTATGCGAACTCTCAATCCCGGAACGTCAATACGGCATCAATACAGTATCATCAACGATTGTCGGATTTCACTTCGACAACTGCACATGGATCCCGCCTAACGCGATGGTTGTTAGTGAGAGAGAGAGTCGTTAAAACGTGCAAATACTATGCTAAGAAAACCTTAACGTTAATAAATGATTATACTCAATATTGTTCACGCAGTACCGCACTCCTTATTGATCATACGCAACCCTTATCACGTTGTTAACACCTTGGGTCACGGAACAGTTGAATATTCTGTAGAGGATGCGAGTACGTGCGGCGATTATGACTGAAAGATACTTGAAAGATTATACGGCGATAAAAAAAAAACACAATCAAAAACAGTTATTATTCTTAAAGGCACCAATCTCAACAGATACATCGGCAGGTTATCTCAGAACGGCTCGGAGTAAGGGCCTGCGACGGTGCTCCTTTTCCGAAGATCGTTATCTTATACCAAGTTTACTAATTGGGGACCAGATCACCTGATAAGGATCCGGTGGGCCACCACTCCCCACGTGAGCGTGGCTCGGCGGAAGGAGGTGCCAAGAATCAGTTCGTATTGATGGATCTGTTGGGAATTTATGCGATTAAGAGTACAGCCCACTAAATATTAAAGATAAAAATTAAGAATACTCTTATACGACGGAGGCCACCACTCGGTCTCGTTGTGATGCCTTCCCAGCCACGGATGACTTAGGGGTTCGAGTGTGTTTGAGTGGTAAGAGTTGTCTTGAATAGTCAGTGTTCGGAGTCGATTCTTTATGTCAAACAGACGCCTGGTGGTCGTGTGGTGAGGGGGCGGTGCGCGTCATACGTATCAGGCGCTCTCCTGTCACCGTGGTGAATTGGCTCGGATGGCTGTTGATACGCTGTCGCAGTTCGGAACCCGGTCGGTAGGTGGCGCCCACAACTCGCTCGTAGCGTGCAGCGTTGGATCGTCGCCAAGTCGCGACGCTCACCACCGGCGGCAGCGGAGATCTCCGGCGGCAGCAGAGATTGACGAGCTGAAGATGAGTCGAGCCGACCCGCTGGTCGCAGCTCGCTCCTGAGTCGACCCTCCCGGTCGAGCTCGCTCCTGGGTCGACCCGCTGGTCGCCCTCGCTCCTGAGTCGACTCTCTGGTCGCACTCCTGAGTGGACCCGCTCTGTCGCACTCGTTCCTGAGTCGACTCTCTGGTCGCACTCCTGAGTGGACCCACTGGTCGCACTCGTTCCTGAGTCGACCCTCCCGGTCGAGCTTCTGAGTGGACCCTCCCGTCGCACTGGTTTCCAATGTTCAGGATCCGTTCCTTTATGCTGAAAAATCCCCCTGGATCCCGCCCACAAGGCGGGGCTTCCGATTTTTGCTGTGTCAGGATCTGTCCGTAGGCAGGTGTGTCCATGTGTGTGTCCGTATGTCCTTGTGTGCATCACTGACGGTATATTCCGTTGTCAACTCCCTCCATAAAACCCACGAGCAAACAACCAGATGTTACAAATTGTCTCGAAGTCGTCTCTCTGTCTGGGTGCAATTTATCTCTTGTCTGGCCTTCTTCATGAACCCAAAACACAGACGTTACAAATCGTCTCATAGGCGTCTTTGTTCGTGTTGCACAACCTGGAGGGGGGCAACACTCTCTCCGACCCGGCGCACAAAGAAATGGTTAAAAGTTTTAAGTTAACATTTGTCCCTTACTATTTCACAGTTATGATTCTGTATGTAACCTAAGGTCTGTCGTTTCCCATCGTGGTGCCCGACCCAAGTGTAGGTGTTTCCACGAGCGTACACACACTCCTATCCCGCGCTGCGGGGATACAAAGACGGCCGGGATCTCCCTTTCTCTCCGACCCTGGGTTTAACATCGTTTTTTTTTATTATGTATTATATTCGACCTGGTTGTGATTCATCCCGTTATCCTGGCTTTTCCATAAGTTTTACTTTTGTCTTTCATGCATATACTTATTACTATAATTTATTTCCGATATCTTAGGTTAAGGGGTAAGTTTCTTGATCCTAGGAATTCGTATTCCTTGGTGCCTGGATGGTTATATAAGCGGAATATAGTTTATGGTGAATAGAGTTAACATTGATGTTATGTGCGATACTATGTATTGTGATGTCTTTAACTTAACTTGTTTGTCAGGGCTTTACTGACACGAAGTTGCATTCATAGCCCGCAGTCTTTGCCCCACCCTATCTCTGCTCGCCGTTGTTGTTGCCTGCCGTTAATTCAAGGCCTCATTAATTTCCGTCACTCCTGAGTAGGTGAGGGCGGTTGAACCTTGGAGTCAGTTCTGGTTTTTGTCTGCCTGCTTCTTCTTGTGTCCCCTGACCCCGGGAGTTATTATTCTACTTTATGGCCTGTCGAAGCCCCACTCGCTGTTGCTGGGCTGGTGTTGTTCCCGGCTTTTTGCTTACGTTTGCAGTTCGCCGTGCTCTTGATTTCCTTCCCTCTTCAACCTTATATTGACTATTCGCTCCTGTCTGGGTGCGATTCAATTTTGACTTAGGAAGGTTCTGATTGTCATATGCTTCGGGTCGAATTGTATAGAAAGTATTGAAGTATGGAAATAACATTTCATATTGACTTAATAATGGTGATGGTTCAGTAGGCGTAACTTGTGGCCTGGTTTAATTGGAGTGGGTGTGAATATCGATAACTTTAGCCTACCCTGTTGTTAAATTCCGACTTTAACGTTACTTTAATAGCAATACAGAATAATTGAGCTTTTTGTCTTAACTAGGCGAATGCGAACTTCTGGTGACCCCCGCAGCCGTGTTGTTCAGCTGGGTCTTGTGCCTTGAGAGATATACAACCCTCTTTTAAATCACCTCTCCCCCTGTCCACCTTCTGCTCTGGGAGTGTTTATTCTTGATTCCAGGTCCAAGGCCCCCTCACATCCAGACGCGCAGGGTTGTTTACATCAGCTCCCCCCCTGTGCACGTGTTCTAACTAGCTCGGAATTCCTGAACACACAATCAGTGATGATTCCTGGCTTTCTGTGGTTGTGATTTAGACAAAGGCGCCTCTGTTTCTTCCATTGCCTTTGAGTCGACACTGCCCTATTATTTGCCCATGTGCTGAGGTCATAGAATTCGTTTTGACTTCAGTAATATTAACATTCAGTATTGGATTAGCAAATGGGCAATGGTTCATTGATGTAGCTCGCAGCCTGGTCTCCAGTTTGAGCGAGCGCGAGGATCGATAATTTAGCCTACTCTGTTGTTGAATTTCGAATTTTGACGTTACTTTAAAACCATGCAGGATGATTGGGCTTTTGCCTTAACTATGTCTGGCTGACACTCCCACTGTCTCTGCCGCCTGCACGGGTGACATGTGCCCGTTCATCAGGCCTTATCTTCCCTTGAAGCAACGTTGTAAATTCTGCCATCCTAGCCCTCCTCCGGTTCATTACTTAACAACACCTGGTGTTTTGCAGTTTGCTGCGCTTGGTGTGTTTCACTCATTAAAAAAAACAAGTAAAAAGATAATATATAAAAATCATCAAATATTATTAATCTCAATTATGGAAGAAGGGTTAGTATACAACAGTTGTCCATGACAAAGACCAGAGAAGTGGTGTCATCTTGCTCGCAATAAAATTTGCATTGCATGGGTTTTTGTGTACATCATTGTATATTGTCGTGCAAGCTGGATATTATTTCCAACCGTACTCAACATTAGTGGCAAGTGCTCTTCTACCCCAATCAATTTAGCTTTAAATCAGTATCTACCACAGTGTGTTTACATTAATATTTGAAAGACAAAAGGTGGGTAGGCATGGGTGCTGGATACATACTACGTCTGCTTGTGCTGTGTCCCTGATTAAGTAATCGTGAACAGTATTTGCCCTTGCAGTCTGTAAGGCTGAATGTGTTTTGTGTATGTGTGTGGACAGCTGTTGGTTCAGATTTGCTACAATCTTATAGTCTAAATTATGTTCCTAATCTTGCACATCATGAGCACATAGTGCTCTAACCACTCAAGGTGCAGTCCTGACTGCCACATGCATAATTGACATGCTCCATACTGGTCAATTTGACAAGTGGTGCACCCAGCAAAAAAAATGTTGGAGGGGACGCATTGCAAAAAAAGCTGCATATGAATTTCGCTTAATATGAAAATCGGGTGACACAAACTTGTTATCTAGTCCCTACAAATTTGTGCTAACCGATTTGCACGATAATAGTGAAAAAAAATATGATTGCATAGTTTTCATTAAACAAATTAAATTTAAATGAACATTGAACAATGATGAATTATTTTCAGTTTTACATCTTTAGAATAATCTATGATATGCAATGGCCATCTAACATCTAACAAATGTCCCTTTCATTAACCCCCACCCGAGTGTGCCTCTGATGCCGACCACAAGCTCCAGCTTCTCACTAAGCCCTTTTGTTATCATAAGCGTCTGTTATGTCTTCTAGGACATGAAGATGCAAAGTCTGCAGAATAAACATGAGCAAGAAAAATCTCAGGTACTTACGCATCCATGCAAACAGCGACGCGTCCACTCTAACACAAGCAAAAGTTGTATAAAGTTAGGAGCACCTTGCACCCGTCAAGAATTATAAGAACGCCCAAGTTAGGCTGCATTGGCTATGTATTGTTAGTGCCAGCATGCCAGTTATGTGGGATGACATTTTTAATGTTTGAAGTGGGAACTGTGCTTCTGTTTTGCGCTCAAAAGGAAAAAAAACTGATCAGGTCATGGTTCAATGGTCGTGCTTCGCGGAGGACTTTAAAGATTCCATGACATAATTTGCAGGGTAGGCCATTTTGTGCCGGTGTCATGATCCAAATTTTCCAAATTGAAAGTTACCCGCAAACTGCTCAATTGGAATTACACGGAGCAATCATTGCCCCCCCATACTGGCACACTGTTGCCTGTTTGCAGGGCAGGTGCTGTATCACCTTGGGCCCACAGAGACAGCTGCCATTGGGGGTTCCTTTTAAACGTTTGAAATGAGATGTGATGTAAATTGCCTTGAGACACCCCAGCGTGCAGAATGCTATATCAAAAACAAATTATGATTTACATGATATTGATGTCTAGTGGAACATGGGGTTCCGCTAGAGATGTGGGGTGTTGTGGATGATGGTTTTTCCATTTGTAAGAAAGCATACAAAGCTGTCTCACATGTTACTACCAAGGTAGGACAGTGGATACTTGCTCAAAGTAGATGAGAGCCCATCGATAAATTACCAATGATGGTGCGGTATACTTGGCGACCTGCAGAGCAACAACAGCAATATCGTTCTGACAGTTGCTATGCTGCCACTCAGTAGAGGTTGCTAAGGATGGAATGGTGGCACAGTGCTTAGCCAACTATGTGCTATAAACCTGCAAACTCAATTATATTCATGACCATGGCTAACATCAGTGGCGAGCGATATCTGAACAGGTCCTGTGCCCCTTCACGAACCCACACGGACTAGTGTGGTGGAATAGCTTGACTCAATCCCCATGACTGACACAGCATGGAAAAGCCTTCTTCAATCATTGAACCTTTGGATGGCGGTGTGTGCGTGTGTGCGTGCATTCAGATGCAGCGAGACCTGGATTCGCTGCACGATTCCCTTTCAAATGACCAGAAGGCTATGAGCACTCGGCTCTCGGAGCTGCGGAGGCTGGTGAAGGAGCGAGATGCCCTCATCCGCGAACAGAAGCGCCAGGTGCCCACTTTGCGATTGCATATTAGCCGTTGTTAATCCGCTGCTGGATGGAGGCCTTCCCAAGCGGCCGTCATTTGTCACGATCTTCTGATGTAATAATCCACCACCTACCTCCGCACCTCAGCTGTTTAATCGCTCCATTTCCCCGGTGGACATGCCCTGGGCGAGATAGAAGACAAGGATAATATAAATGACTTGTAAACGAAGTTATACAAATGTAGTTATTGTTTATCTTCGTAGAATGCATCGTCTATTTTAAGTGCTATCATTGAAAAATGATAAAGGTAATGGAATCACGATTCCTGTCTGTTAGCACTTTAACGGCCTCAAATTTGAACTGCTTTTAACAAGAGATGTGCCAAACATTTATAGTTAAAATTATCCCTCTTGTTGGGCAAAAAATCTGCCAACTCGAAACAAAATGGCGGCCATTTGGCTGCCATTTAAAAAACTTGAAATCTAAACCTCGACACATATACCATATATAAAACTCTTATAACTGCAACTTTACATCTCATGCCCCCCGTTTGAGCCCCAAAAAGACACATTATAATGCATTGTTGAGGTAATTCATGATTGCTATATACTAATTGTGACATTAATATGTGATATCTGTAATGTTTTATATGATTTTGTGGTAAATGCAATTTAAAATGTAACTCAATAAAGACGTATGAAAGTTATGAAAACGCTTATGAACGCAATACAGCACTTACACGCGTTCAAATTTGCATTGTTTCTTAAACTAAAAATTTCCGTCATGTGGGCACTTTGTCAGTGTCCCTCAACGTGTGAGCAGTGTAAGGAGATGCTCATAATATAACCAGCACTCGTGTGCAATACGTGATTTGTTTTTACGTAAGCATGGTTAATTTGTATCCCGGATAAACTTCCAACGGGTAATCGAGTTGACTGTATTTGAATAAGTGTAACTTGAGAATCAAATGTTCTACATATAATGGGGGTTTTCTGAAATACTTTTTGTTCAAACAGATTCAAGGTCTTTCTTCAACAAGAGTAGAAAGTGAGTATCTTTTAAAAACTCTTTTGACTTGAATGCACATGCAAAGTACGAGCACATACATACGGGTGTGTGTGCCTTCGTGTGTATGGGCAGTGGAGATGTTAGTGATGATTAGCATGGTTGGCTACGTACAGTGTGAAGGAAGTTCAACATGAGTGCACTGTCCTATAATGTCAGTGTCATTTGGCATTGAAGCCTGCCTAAGACTTCCACTAGGTCATCTCAGCCTAAACGTAAGTGATGGTGCGGCACAGGTGGGCAGACATGCGTAGTGCTGGCAACGCAACTCTGCGTAGCACTTTCATCCCTAATGGATGTTTGCAAATGAAATCTGCCCCAAATATTTATTCAGGCTGAGGTATCTTTGACGTTAATGTGTATGCATGTATGGAAGGCATCTGGAGGAACACAGAATCAATAACCTAAAAGCAAATTAAGTTGTTTTTTTTCTTATAAATTACATCAGAACCCCAGATAGAGTCTGAAGAGGAGGAGGAGGAAGAAGAGGAGGAAGAGGCTGAGGAAGAAGGTGAGATTATAGTTTACCAAATGAACATGTGTCCACATTTCTGAGTTTATTTCTTGCTGATATATTTTTTCTCTAAAATCTTAACAGCAGTCAATTTATTATTAAGTAAATGAGCAGGAAATGGGGTTTGTTTGAAAACAATTTAAACAAACAAGTTTTAGTCTACTAACCAGTGGGTCATCTGGATAAATGTCTCCCAGTGGCACTTTTTTGACAGGCCACACTGTACTGATGAGATGAAATGATGTTGAAATAAGCTTAAATATACAAATGTCACTGGGATACATCGGTGTGCAAGGCTCAGAAGTCGATGAATTACATTTTAATTTGGTGATTATTTTTGATATTAAGAACATATTTTGATATTGATAAAGGATTAGCCCTGTCCATGCCCTAACGTTAACCCTGGCTGTGATGCTCTACCCAGCGTCCTATCCATGTCTGGTGTCTTCCGCACTTTCGTCCGGCTCACATTGTGCAATTCGTCTTTTCCCTCCGCACTTGTACAGTTGCCGCGATATGGCACAACCACAGTATGACATTTTGTACGATATGTAATCCATTATCATTCTATCGTGCGTATTGATAAATATTGGAACAGCGCGATCTAACCCAAAAAAAACCTGGAATATGAGCGCAATTATCATTGCAAATTTTTTATCATTAATAATTTATTTCCCAACAAAAATATTATAAAGTAACAAACTTAATACGTTGTAAATAAATAATTATGTTTCTGTTAAATGCATGTTTTGCAAAATGTTTCCAGAGTAATTATAAGACAATTATTTAATAGTTTTTTAATAAATTCCCCTATTGCCGGCATGTGCGTTATAATCATTATAGGTTGTAATTATTAAAAGTCCTTAAGACATGGCAAGCTTATGTTGTGTGAACTGCAGTGGAATAGCTTTATTCGATTAGAAGTACAGCAACGCACAAAAAACTGTTAAACACAATGATAAAGTTATGGGAAACTTATATCGCGATAATCGTCATATCGTGAAAAATGACATCGCGTAAACAGTGGCCTGCTTCTCCCCGTCTGCAACGCAATCAGTGTTTGTTGTTTGTTAATGTGATCCAGTGCTTTTTTGTGCTATTTTAAAATCATTTTTGAAAATCCTTTGTGAAACAAATCGATTTGAAATGTGCCTTCTGTGTTTTTTTACGTTTCTGTGAGAGATAATGACGGGATCCTGGTGGTCAACAAAGATCCATGCTATTTGGCCTATGAGACTATACAGTTGTTATAGGACCAGGTTAACCATTGTTTACAAGAGATTGAATGACCTTTCAGGTCAGCATCTCCCCCCCCCTCACTTTAACAATTCAAATTAGCGATCGCATTGTTTGTAATTATACGACAGTCATAGTACCATCCTTGCAAATTACAGTTTTGGATTTTGTACTAAATTGCTTTTGCACAAATCTACGTCCCGTCTTCACGTGAAACATTTTTTAAAATGTAAAAACACGTAATGTGTATGAAAAAGTTATGAAAGGTGTGCACGTGCCTCCATAGAAACGTAATGATTTTACGATTTAATCACATTTTTATTAATTCACTCTCGCCCCTCCCTGCTGCCTCGCTTTTCCCCCTAACTTGTGTTCACTAACGGCGTTAACACTTCATGTTGTATTTTCTGTATGATGTTTGGGCCTTGTTTACTTTATGTAACATTGATATTTAACAATACATATTTTGAGTTTAACAAATACACTCTTTGCATTGTATTGCTGTTTTAATCCACTTCTTAATGTTTTCTTATGTTTATTTTTTTTAACATTTGTTGTATTTTTATTAAGCATGATTTTCCTTTTTAAAATGGTTTCTGGTTTCACTGAATTTATTTTCTTACTTCCAAACATTCCCGAGTCTCTTCGTCTATTTGTGACTTTGTTTTTTTAAATTTAAATCCAATTCTGTTTAACCATTTTATTTTAACCGACAACATTTCCCAACCTCCCACCTTCTCCGCGTCTTTTACTCCCTGCCTCTTGATTCTCGCTTTTCGCCGCTCGCCCTCTCGGTACCAAATCCGCGCGTCGCGTCGATGGCAGTTGATGCAGAGAGGAGTCTCCAGACGATCACGGAGGCCACGGAAGACGACAGCATCGGTAAAACCCTACGGCTCCTGGCTCCCCTCGAACCTCCAACTGCCCTCGGACTCCTCGCTCTGCTGTTGAGAAATCCTCCTCGGTTTAGAGCTGCAGTTCAGAGTGTATTCGGCCTCTTAATTTTTTCGGCATCTTAATTACGGTGGAAGGTAAAGGTGCAGCCCTGCAATTTCTTGCTCATGTCGCTGCTGGCAGAAAGGCCTCCATGAGAGGGACCTCTAGAGAGCTCCCCTATGAGTTATTGGGCCTGATTTCCCATGCCGGCCAGACATCTCGGAGAAGGTGGGCTTAGCCACACTTTACCCCACCACATGCGACTTAAGGATCGACTAACTGTGGTGAACTCATTTATACTGCTGGGTGAATGGGGAGGGTGTATTTAAGAACGTTGCACCACTGTTTAAATTTCCATGCTGTGAGTTTGAATCGATCCAGCGACCTGTGGATTGTTAGTCTGGTGTGCGAACCATTGCACCATGGAAGCTTGCTAAATAAGCATTGATTACAAATAATGTCAGCATAGATGACCACTGGCCCATGCTCAATTGAGCTTGAAGACACTTTAACCAGACTCATCGGGCTTCACAGACAGTGGGAATTGGGTGACAAAGAGTGCTTCAAGGAACTTACAGCGACAACATTTTCATGACAATTGCTGTGCATTAACAAGACGGCTCACTCTCGTTAGCGACATATTGCAGTCAGTAAAGTAGCTTGATTATCACTGATTAGGGTCATCCAATGTGTTTATTCTTACAGTACTGCCTGGGTCCTGCCACTGCTCTTAAGCCTCCCTCTTTCTCAAATTCCCCTCCTGTTTGACACTCCGTATTCCCATCCCTCTATATTAAACGCACCTCTCCTCTCGTCATCCATGTCTTACCTATCTCATTCATTCCTTTTCTGAGCACCCCCATATTGCATCCCGTGACCCAGCGATCTCTGACTTTGATTCCTGACCCCTCCCCCCACCCTCCTCTTCCCTGCTCTCTGCCATCCTCGCCTACTCAGAGGAGCTGGAGAGCTCGGGCGAGCGGAGGCCACCAGGCCCGGGCCTGCTGCGGGAGCTGCGCGCCAGCCTTCAGAATGCCCTCGATGAAAAGCTGGAGGGCATGGGCGTGCGCCAGGTGAGGGCACTGCACCAGCTACTCCTGCCCACAGTTGGGTTTTCAATTATTCGACAGTCGACGTACACTGGTGCATGAAGGAGTGCCACCTATTGCATGAGAGAGGCTTGTTAAGGTGACTCCATAGTGAGAGCTACCATGCAATTTTTAGAGATTGTTCTCTGACAGCTTTAGACGACGGTAATATTAGAGGCCATTCTCTGATGCAAGGGAGTTTAATTATCTCACAACAGTGTAACTCCAATACGCCAATAGGAATATAAATGGCGAGAGGCGGTCAGTTGGCTCAGAAGTTCAGAACGCTGAGTTGAGATTCTGGGTTCCATCCAGGCAACCGTCTGATTCTCAAGTGAGCTGATGGTCTCAGCGACGTCGACAGTGACTGTACAAAAGTTATCTAATTAATATGGTTTTGAACTTCATTTGGCTAAATTCCTACTATAACAACTGAAACAAAATGTTAACTGCCATTTAACAAATATGGCTCTCATGTGGCAGGGCGGATGGGAAATTGTTGCCCCGAGAGATGACTTGAAGGGATATCTGAGGTAGCTCTGTTATATCCGCTTCCGTGAGCTGTTCTCTATCTACTTGGATCTCTCACGGAGAGATAATATATAGGGAAAATTGCATATATATTTGTTTTAATGTAAGGGAATAATCATGGTGATGTGTGCGAGATCTACTATCGTGTTCTACCATCCCGCGTGTATGCTTTGTGCAGGGCGCTCGAGGGATTTCACAACAGGTCCTGCTCTCCTCGTTGTCGGTGCTGCGCACCCAACGATCGCAAGCGACGCGCCGACACGCACGCCTGCCCACCATCCGGCGCCGCCTCAAGCGGCAGTTGGAGCAGCGGGTGCAGCAAGCGCAGCAGGCGGAGGCCGGCACCGGCGGGGCCGCGGCGACGGTTACAACAGCCCCTCGTGGGGGGCAAAGTGGCGGTGCACGCGGGGGTGGCTCGGCCGGAGGGCCCGGGTCCCGAGGACCCACTAGCGGGGGCGCGGCCCGCAAGCCCGTGAATGGCGTCGGCCCCAAACAAACGAAGGGCCCCTCTGGAAAGGCGGCCGTCAAGTCGGAAGGTGATGGCAGAATTTACAGTAAAAAGAATAAAATCACGACGTTTCAGAGGCAACACAAGCTTCCGTCTTCAGGTGAAACTGTTGCCTCCGAAACGTCGTGTTTTTATTTTTTTATTTTTATTTTATTAATTTTAATTTCATTTTTTACCTACGTGACTTTACCGAAAGAACTAAGAGTATGAATCCTTGCAGTCACGAAAGCTTCAAATCTAGAAGAATTTACAGTGCTTGTGTGACCTGCACTGCTGGGTCATACAAGGATGTATGTGTGCGTACAACCCTTTAGTCCATCCACTACTGTTCTATGAAGGGGGGTCATGGGGGTTTGTTTGACCATCCTTCAAGACATGGACAGAGGGGGTCGGTGAATGTTGGGAGCGTAGGCGGAGGCATAGACGTGCTGCTCGTTATTTTTTTTGATGAACCCCCTTTGAATGCTTTTGCAGGAAATCCCCGACGTGGCTCCCCGGGGCCGCAGACCAAGGTGATCTACTCAAGGCCGGCAGCGGCAAACGTGGCGGCCAAACCCAGATCGCCCGGCAAACAGGCCGCAGGAAAACCCGGAGCAAAGGCGGACTCTGGAAAGACATCCAATGCCCGCACCCCAGCTGGCAACGTGAGGTGCGTTTATGGGAACCGCCACGCACACACGAGTGTGTGCAACAGTATGCTTTTGTGTGTGTGTGTATTTTGGCTGCATAACGCTGTGTGGAAGCTACCTGGTTTGTCGCTCCACACGAAGCTTTGGGTCTTCTCAGCCACAATCATGTCCTACCTTCGCGATGCCTGCGAAACGTGGACCCCCCTAATGGAACATTTTCGCCGATTAGAAACATTTAGGCTGGTCTGCCTTCGATCAATTTTGGGTTTATCCAGGCTGGATTGTGTGAGGAGCTCACAAATTCTTGAAAGATCTTAACAAAGTCCCATCGGTGAGTTCCTCCGACAGGCAAGGCTGCGTTGGCTGGGTCATGTAGCCCGCATGCCCAGCCACCGCATGCCTTAACAGCTTTTCGGTTGGATACAGGGGCTAAATGGGCACATCACAGAGATAGAGTGACCTGGTACAAAAGGATGTGGAGCTGAGTGGACTTGCCGATGAGTGGTACCAGCGGTGTCAAGATCGGCCTCTGTGGAGGAGGCTCGTGAAAGACACTACTGGGCAGTTAGAGGCAGTCACACTGCAGCAACAACGGAGGGCAGCGGAGTGATGCTCACAACAACGAGCGGCGCGCCGGGTGGCTAAAACACAGCAAGTTGGCACAGTAGGGGGCACAGGTGGTGCATTGGCCAGTCATCTCAGTCAGCCGACCCATGGCACCTGGGTCTATCCCATGACCTGTTGGCGGGTGTTCGACACTTCACGTGGCCTTAACGTGCACAAGCACCGTGGTGACGTCACCACCACTTAGTGGTGAATGGCGGTAGTTGTGTGTGTATTTGTCTTGTATATATGCATGAGTTAGATTTGTATGCGCGTGTGGAAGCGTCGGCTATAGTAATACAGAATTGAGTAAACATGGACAAATGAATCCACTGGTGAATTATAATGATCGTCTGAAGTTCATAGGATAGACCTCAGACATTCGAGACATACAAATATAAGTGAATGTATGGAGTACACCAACTTCTGAGATTACACTGAAGACATTTGTTCTCCCTAATGTCACAGTTCGTGCTTGCTTAGCTTCACTTTTTACGACAGTCTATGAGGTTAAGTGTTTTATCTTTCTGCTTTTATATAAAACACTCGTATGTGTACATGCTACACTTATATATCTGTATGTGTATGCTTGTGTTCATTCTCATTGACGTTCACGTTTCTTAAGTCATTCCATTTAAACCAGTTCATGGTGTCTGACCATGGCCTATGTGTCGTGCTCACTCCGATGTACTCTCATGCACACAACCAACACAAACCCACACCCACGTGCCTGCAGACACAGGCAGAAGCCAAGATCAGTGTCGTTTGCGTAAGTGCGTTCAGATTGGTTGGCTTGCATTTTGTGAATGACGTTCTGTTCTTGATGACAATGTTGAATTTGTTTCCTTCAATCCTGCGACCATTACATTAACTACATTAACATAAATGAAACATAAATACATAAACAACCAAAAAGGTAATTCAGTTATCTGGGTATTATTGTTTTCATGCTCAGAAATTGAGCTGAATTAATGTTGCCTCTGATCGCAGTATTGCAGGAAATAATTGCCTTGGTAACGGATGTGTTCTGCTTTTCAGTAATACAGTGCAGAATATGGTTGGGCATTTTATTTTCCTGCATGCGCACTTGTGTGCATTTTCTTTTGTTAATTCTGACGCACCACCAGTAACCGCGTGTGCCTGATGTTGCCAAGCACATTCATTGGGCATTGACTCAGGGGTCACTGGCTGTTTACTCATTTTACATTCAGTGGTTCACAAAAAAACAGGTTCGTCACCTTTCCATCAGGTCAGCTAACTGGCTCGCTAGACAGGTTTCTGGTAAGTTTGCTGACAAGCAGGGTGGTCGGCTAGCTGGTTTGCTAACTGGATTGCTAGTTGGTCATTTGGTTAAATGGCTGCTTGAATTGGCTAACTGGCCTTTCACTTGCCTAGCTGATTAACTGATAGACTGACTGGCTGCCTGGTTTGGTGGCTAATAGAGATTCTGACCCGCCCAACTTGATAACTGGCTGGGTGCCTCTGTGAATGACCAGTTGGCTAACTCGCAATTCAACTGGCAAACAGGCTGGCATTTTAAGATGCCTGACTGTTTAATTGCACAGTTGGCTAACTGACTGGCTGGCTGTCTCATTGGTTTGCGGACAGGCTAGCTGGCTGGGCCAGGGCTGATGGTTGGGGTGACTTCCTTGGCACGCCCGCATGTTAACTCGACCCACCAATTTTGTTGTTGTGACATTGTTTTCTGGATCCTAGCATGGTGTCTGGTTGGGGTCTGTCTTGTACTTGGTTGCACTGTTTTGCTGTGATGTCACTGGTGGGGGTGTTTGTGCTATTATTTTCCTTCAATCACTTTCCTTTCGCCCTGCATCATACCTGACGAGTAGATATTCAAAAGCGCACTGATTGTTTGGGTTTCTACTTTGTATCCTGGCAATGAGCGGAAATGCTACATTTTAGTGATGGGGATCAATCTCTTTGCAGGCCGAACCACTGTTGACTTTCCATAGACGTAGTGCAGTTTTAACAGTTCCTGCTTATTTTACCCAATCTGAAGGGACAGGACTCATAACCCGTGACAAGAATCTAACTTGTGACATTTCAATTGTGAGTGAAGTACTCGAGTGTGCTGAACAGCTTATACTGTGTGCATGCATTGATACTTTTGAATATGAACGTAGTATTTTGTATTTTCTATGCTTGACATATTGTGCTTATATATATACATATATGCTTCCTTTAATTGATAGGTAAGTCGTACACACACCATGCACATGGTCAACAAATTGCCTTGTCGCCTCAGCACCCCTCCCTTCACGTCAGACGACGACTCTGACATTAGCACAAGTCCACCGGCCATCCGTAAACACGACGGCCCTGCCACCCGAACGGCTGAGAGGGAGCCATCCACAAATGGGCGAATCGCGCGCCAGCTGGCCGAGGAGTGGTCCGATGGCAGCGAGCTAGAGTCCATTACCATCCCCGGACAGAAAAAGCCCCAGTCCACCGCCCATCCATCCCCACAAGGTGAGCGAAGAATGCGCCAGTCAGGCTTGCGCCGTGTGTCAGCCCTTAACAGGCACTTGCTTGAAGCAACCTCCCCAACAATGTATACCACTGTCACCAATTGTTATACGCTTATGGGCATAAGCATGCATGTTTTTATATCCATCTGCAAATCCGATGCGAATGTATTAAAATGCAAGTCAGTGCCATTAATTATTTGCTTATGAAGTATAAATATTATGCTGTACATAGAGGGGTGAATATCGTTTGACAGAGAATGGATGGAGAGGGTTGTGGTCAGCGCAAGTTGAAGGATTTTGTTTTTTAAACAGAAGTACATACTCGAGTGCTACAGTTGTATTGCATCTGTTGTTTGTGTCTGTTCATCTCTCTGTCTGTCTGCATGTCATTTATTATGCATGTCTGTTCCCATCTGTCAGTTCGTCTGTTGTCTGTGTTGAACTGCACCCGAATATCGCACGGCAGATGTAGCTATCTCCTACACTAATGGACAATTAAGAACAGCCAAAATATTGCTTGTGGTCACCAGTATAACATTATCGACCACTCAGTAACGCCAATGCCTGCGTTGATCATTTGCTAGCAGCATTTCAGATATTCATTACCAGGCTATTCCTGAAGCTGTCCACTGTCTCATTCACCAACGTCAACATGAACTTATAAAGATTGCTAAGAAACTCATCATAGAAACTAAGTAGAAGCTTTATTGTATCTGTCTGTGCCCATTTGTCAGTCCATCTTGCCTTTCTGCCAGCGTGTCACTGTCCATCCATTCACGTGTCTGTGTGTGTATGTGTGAATACTGTAGGGGAGAAGGTGCAGATTTTAAGCCAAAAAATAGAGCGGCAACTCAGCAAGCCTGGAAGTAAAAAACCACCGGGCGGAGTCCACGTGATTACCTCCACACCAAGCCATAATCCCAGCAAGGTGAGGTGCTGATGTCACCACGCACAGAGCCAAACAAGGGTGAAAAAGCTGCGATGCAGGTGGGCAGTGATTCATACGGTGACCTCAACCAAAGCATATCAATAAAGCTTTGAGAAGAGAATGTCAGCAAAACCGATAGCTGGAGTGAATGGTGACTGTATAAGAAACCTGTTATTGAGTGGTGTCACACACATCTATGGTAAAATACATGAAGAAACCAAAGCAATGTATAGAGAAACTTTATGTCAAAATCACTGTTTCATGGCTTGTCAAAGCCATAGAATTTAATTTAAAAGAATCCAAAAGCTCTCCGATATGTTTTCGTGTTGTACCGCATATTGTTCAACACATGCTGCGAACTTCTTAAAAAACTTCGAGACATTGGACATCATGCGGGACGACAACATGTGGGACAACCAAAACGGCACCGCCACAAACACCTACGCAGTAGTAAAAGTGTAAAAGTTCTATTGCAAGTGTCACACCTGGCCCCTATGAAAGCAATTTTCCTTCTTCTCTGCCTCGGCAGGCGAGTTCCGCCGCGGGACAGAAACGCGTGAACGAGGCGGATGACGAAGAGGACAACTGGGACATCTCGTCGCTGGAAGACGTACCCGTAGGAGGACGGGCTACGGCACGGTCGGGACCCGTGCCGGCCCCACGCAAGGGCGCATCTTCGCCGGGGCAGCCACACTCAACCGCTGTGCCCATCACCTCCACTTCCAAGGCTGGTGAGACACTCACGGGTGTGTATGTGTTGTGTGGTAGAAAAGGACGCTGAAGCCGGCCGTGTAGGGGCTGACGCCAAACTGTTTATTCAGGGCTTACGCTTAACTCGGGGGAAGGGGTTAATACAACGGTTATTAACTAAGCTCCCCAGGGGAAGGGTACTGGGAGTTCCCTATACCCCACCAGGCTATCGGGCTCTTCCCACAGCACTGACCAAGGATTCAGCCAACTCGGCCAGCCGGGTAAAGTAGCCCCTTAGCCTGGCTCTCTACCCGCTATCCCGGAGCCCCTTCCTAACCACTCACTCCTCTGACTCTCGGCGAAGACCCCGTCCACGTCACGGGTCTCCCCTCAAATACCCCGGGGGGCATGACGTCACTTTACCCTGACGGCATTCCCCCGAGGCGAGTGTCACCTGACGTCAGCACTCCACTCGTCAACATATGTATGTACGTATGTTGAACATCTTTTGCACCGTACGTAACCGACCGTGCTAATCGGAGGTGCGGGTGAGGGACAAATTGGAGGTGCGGGGGAAGGGATAGGGTGTGGGGGCAGGGGTGGGGATTCTTTTCTTTACTGAGCGCCCAAAAGGACTTTCAATTATCGTTGGCAGGACACACATTCACACGCCCATTCTGTCACTGCAGAATAATCAGAATCTTTATACTGGAGGAATCCATGAGTTATAAAGATATTTTTCACAGATGTACATTAGGGGCGGGTCAGAAAGTTACAACAACAAACAAAGAGTATGGATTCCTGCAGTCACGAAAGCTTCAAATCAAGAACAAACAATACATAAACACGATATGAGTGCAAAATATAGGAAAGGTAAGCGAATCACAAAAAAAACTAAAACTAAACACTTTTTTTTTCACCAGGTTAAGCCCACTGAGCTATTAGCATCTTTTTCAGAAGAGACCTGGCCACAAATGATAGCTCAACAAAGTGGACAGTTATAGCAGCCAAATGATCGAAATTGTTTTGTGTCACAACAGTGGTATTCGTTTTATCTACCCCAGGCAGATGATGGATTTCAACACGCATCCTTTCGATTGCGAGTGAAGCAGTCTGCTTACAGCTATACTCGGCCTATAACAAAGCATGCATTCACCTGTTCAAATGTGTTCCTACACTCACAATGCACGCATCGAATCATATGGGAGAATCGGTTATTTTCCATTCGTGTATTGTATGTTATGGTTTATGTAACCTATCAGCTTCTAGAGTTGCTATATCCACCACACTGTTATAAAAGATACATTTTTAAGTGAATCACAGCCCTAAATTGTGACAATTCATGGAATCATGAGGGGAGGGGGGCGAGTCGTGTGCTGGACCAATAAAGTAACAGTCGGTGCTTGCTGCTTGCTACAGGGCACTTGCCCCCCCACCCCAGTCTGTAAGATGAAATGGAGGATCCTTGTGCCGACTGTGTGCTGCACAGGTTTGAAGGAGCAAGGGTCAGGCAGCACTCTGAAGAGCAGCCTGGTTACCGTCACAGACTGGACCAACGATGACTTCTCCGACCTGGAGTTGTCCTGAACTCCAACCCCGTGGATCTAATACCCTTTTTCCACTGCACAACCACCAAGCCATTCCAGGGCCGTACTGAGCCAGTCCGGCGCAACTCACGAGGCACCAGGTTGCTTTTTCACGACCGAAGCCGAGCCGTGCCGCTTGACGTCATATGCAATAAGTCGAGATGTCTTTTAATAATGCAGTGCCACCGTGTCTTCACAGTGAACTCACTGACATCACAGACATAATGGACAGGTCCTGTAGCCATGCTCCTGGTCTTGCTTGGCCCCCAGCCAGATGCAGATGTCTCGTGAGGCCAGCATGGCTTGGCACGGCACATAGCAAGTAGAAAACCACTCGGATGTGCCAATAGAAAATGGGTAACAAAGGGGTCTAAGCATACTGTGGCACGGGTGCTAGAGGAACACCACAGCAACAGCACCATAGAGGCTAAATACGCACTGCGATGAAATCTCATTGTAACGTCCCTCAGACTAACATACTTTTTGCATGAACATATTTAGTAAAAATCCCCAGAAGATGTACGGCATAAATAACGTTAAAAATGTTTACAAAGAATGTACTTCATATTTATTTTCATATCAGATTAACATTATTTGGAAGTTCTGGTCGTTTTTTTTACTTGGCACTACATGAGAACCACTTTGTGGACCAGTCTTATCCCTGTCCTATGGATACACTCGCCCCCGCCATAAGAACGACTGGCTTAGAGCTGTAAACGGGAAACGAACTCCACATAAAACGCTAATTTGAGCAAGAAATCACTATTTTTACAACGTATATCTCACCATCGTAAAGCATGGTCATGATGCAGCCAATTAAATGTGGTAGCTTCACAGCTATTGACAATGGCAGTGCCGTGCAAACTGGTTCAGTAAAGCCAACACGCGTTGCAGCACTCGTTACACTGTTAAAGTTATATATATATATATAGGTTTGGCATTGCCCTGTGGACCAATTTAATTTCTCAGAGCGTGTTAGTCGAGCCAAGGCGAACAAAAATTCTGATTTCTTTGGTCGGTAGGGTGGCAAACTTAACAAATTGAGAAACCACTGTGCTATGGACATTGAGCTTCTCTGTTGTCTCGTCTTATTGGCCTATTTTGCACATTTTATTGTCATTTCAAATTATAGTATTTTCATTATAAAGTATAAAACGTACGTACGTCGTAATGAGATTTCACTTTACAGGGACTATCACATTCCAATCTGAGCATTACATTTGCTCACAAATCAGTACTATAGGCACTTACAACACCTCAGAGCCTAGCCCAGCACCACAGCAGATAACAACACAGAGGATAGGATAATGGGGCAGAGGCTATCTAACACTACAGAGGATAACAACACGATTTGGGCTAATAACACTGCAGATGCTAGCTCACTACTCCAGGAGCAAAAACAACATCACATATAGTGTATGGTGTGATAGCAGGATGATGCAATAGCTATTTGAACACAACAGAAATTTGCACAGTACAACGGTATATCGTGATGTATTGTGCGGTTTAACACAACACTATTTGGGCAAACCTAAATCGTGGGGGCTCACACAAATACTACACAAGGTAGAACACAACATCAGAGGCAAACTTAACACAGGAAACAAGAATTACTAATTTGGCGAGGTACGATGTAGGTTGGCACAACACTAGAGAGAGTATGTGCAGATTAGCATGTACAACACTACGCTACATAACTTAGGACAATCGATAACAGGGCGTGCTAATGTGTGAAAATATTTCTCAGGAACAAATTAAGTGGTACGAATGCAATAGAATATCATCGTTGTACTTGCAGTAGTACTGTGTGGTAAAGTGGTACCTTATTTCAAAGTTGTATTCATAATGCTTTGTAAAAGGCAGTATCACATTCCCATGATTTATTCAGGTACTTCATATTGTATGGTGTAAAAACACTATCGATGTTGGGACTGGTTACGTGTGTATACATATATGATAGTTATGGTGTTGCCATCTAAGATAATCTTTTTTACATTTTAAAAATACATTTGAGTGTCTTCTTTTTTATTTATTTTTCTGTTTGAAGTTAAATGTCTCTGGGTTCGTGATTATTCACTTTTTTAAATATCTTATTGGCAAGTGAGTGCTGTGTTTTGTGTGTCAGACCTGTGCAGAGAAAGTTAAGAAAGTCAATATGTAAGCCACTTTTGCCTTGTTTTTTTACATCCATTTCAGTGCAAGCGAGCAGTTTTTGCACGTGAAACAGGTATTTTATTAAGACAAAACTCCAATATAACTTTTCTAAACAATTATGGGGATTTGAAACCCTGTACAAAATTCAAGTCCTGTCCAAAAGTAACCGTTATATGATATATAATGTGGGATTTTAGTTGTACAAAGACTTGCGTGGATTCAAACTCATTGCAATAATGTACAATACTACAGTACCTCGGATACTTTTAACTCTACAATAGTTAAACATTATATGAAAGGAGTTCTATTCGTAAATCAACTCGTAAGGGATTTGGTTAAATACACTCGTATTGTATGTGGCAAGAGGCTCCCGAACTAATTTTGTAATAGGTTCTTCAAAACGTGGGAGTGGTGGTGCACTCAGTCTGCATACGACTGCTGAATTCAATTCCCGGCTACGGCGGACATCGGCAGCAATCAATAACGGGTCGTGTCCCCTCCCAATCACCACCCACACTGATCAGCGTGGTGAAGTAAGGGGTCAAACAATCCTCATGACTCGCATGGCATGGGGAGGCCTTCATTGGGCAGTGGATTAAACAAGAGCTATGCATAATTTCACTTTTAACCTCAACATTTGGCAGAGGAATCTTACTGCTTGGTTTGGGCTGTCTTTGTGATGTGTCTCTAACGTTAACTTCTGACAGGTGTCCCACATTCCCATACTGTACTCTGGTGTAGTTTTTGTTCTGTCAAGCACATTTACAACATATCAACAAATTGCTTCATATATTCTTGCACATTGCAGGTCAGATCATGAAAGTTGTTTTTTTAAGTGTAACCGTGACACATAGGTACATTAGAATAAATTTATATTGTGAATGTTGCTTTGCCGTACAGATATAACCCACAATATCTGGATAGAATACTGATCTAATTCTGGAACCATATTTGCTTTTGGTACATTTTGAAATGTTTATCACCTTGTCACCAACATGACAATTGTTTACGGTTATACAGTAATGTACGAGTTAATAACTGCACAATTTCTTCGCTTTGCTGGTAACATTTTCGATGTGTCTCCCACCTCGTAGAATCAAATTTCAATAAAGTGGTTCAGTAATAAACGTTGTCAAGCTGTGGTCATGTCATTGCTAATAACATATACATATATAGGGAGCTCTAGGATTATTGGTGCAACTGGACAGTATACAGCTCAATGGATCATGTCAGTGCTGCATGAAGTTGCATGGAGTTAAACGTGTGGTGTTGCTTTTAGAGAATTGGTTGTAATTTAACGTCCCCCTTAGGGTGCAATAGCAATTCTGAGGTGTCACAAGCCAAATTAACATTCACCAAAATGTTCAGAATGCCATTGGAACCTCCTTTGCCAGTAGCAAAATATGATCATTGTTTTTTACCCCGAGCTCTCATACTCCGATGGTGCATTGTCTTTGAGTTGTGCGCCTTTTGGCGTCATCTGGTCCAACACCATGTGAGACTAGGCTCTAAGGAAAGCTGTCTCGGGTGTGGACCAATCAATTTCAAGGACAGTGCATACATTATCAGAGTTGTGTTTTTTGTTTGCATTCGACCGCAGATATTGTGGTCTATACAAATATGACTCCTTGTAAAAAAAAGGTGTCAGTTTTATTGCCAGATCAAAGGGTAAAAAACCAATTATGTTAAGAATGATTAGGATAGGCTTGTTAAAGCCGTCACCTTGCTTCATTGTTCCATGATACAACAATCCACCCAGCACCTGCACACGAGCCGTACTCATCACTGCATTTCAGCGGTGAATGGCGTTCTTCTTTGGCTGCCACTCAATAGTTAAAGTAATTCAGCCTACTCTCGTCCCCGTGTCTATATCACCAACCACTGCTCTAGGTATGCGTGTATCTTGAGATACTGTAGCTCTGATAAATTTGTTGCCACCTTGTACATTATTTTTTGCTTATTTATCCTGAGCTCAAAAACTTTACAGCCTTCTTTATTCAGTTCGTCCTAACATTTCTACAATGTGTAAACACTTATACAGAGTCCTCAAACTATACCTACCCCTACATATAGGAATGCCAATGATATACCTGCACACACTTACGCAGACTATAAGAGTTTCACACGTGTGTGTGTGTATATAAAGCCATCACCTATACACGTAGCGAGAGAAATTCAAGTCTTCTTGCATTGAGGCCAGGAATGCTTTGTCGGCTCCAAGCCTCAAGACGACTCTCACCTCGGTCTGTTTTGCGAGCGAATGAATCGGTGAAGTTGAACAACAGAACAACACGTGGTCATGTCACAGAGGCTGTGTGCAGTGGAGACAAAAAAACGTCCAGTTGCTGCTATATAACAAATGTCCCATCACAAATAACTCGCTACAGTTATTGTGCTGTGCCTTTTTTACAGCTGATGAAGGAAGCTTGTGTTGCCTCCGAAACGTCGTGATTTAATTGAGCTATTTGCATTTATTATTTTATCATTATATTTTTTTACCTACGTGACTTTACCGAAAAAACCTAAGAGTATGAATCTTTGCAGTCACGAAAGCTTCAAATCTAGAATGGTTTAGAGAGGTAGGCAACAGCGACCCTTCTGTGTTTTTTTTTAATCTGCCATCCTGCGAATTTCATCAACGCACACAGCCAGTGTTAACATTGGCACATCAATCTTTATTGATCGGTAAGTTGTGGGTTGTCGGTTGGATTTGCGAAGATATAATTTTGGTTGACTTCGTGATATCATTTCCAGATATCACTTTCAAAATACGATACCGAATATCGCGAAGTGACGATTATTGCGACATGGCGACATCCATTTCAGATAATCTTGTAATTGGTAAATCACATTCATATTCTTAGGTTTTTTCGGTAAAGTCACGTAGGTAAAAAATTAAAATTAATAAAAGTAAAATAAAAAAACACGACGTTTCGGAGGCAACACAAGCTTCCGTCTTCAGGTGGAACCGTCACAGCCCGACAGCTGTATTAAGTAAATGAGAGATTACAGGAGATACCAAGGGCCAGGAATGGTAAATCACATTTCTTTGAGCGGTAAGTAAGTTCGGTGAGATTCGTCATTATAACCATGGTAATACACGAATTGACATTGCGAATACCGTGTTTTTTTATCCACTGTCAAAGCTTTCTAGAGACATCCTCTCCTAGCTTGGTTTGGGCTGTCATTGTAATGTGTAATTTGCATAAACTAGTCCCATAGTGTAGAGGAAGAAAGACGAGGTATATCTACTTTCAACGAAGGCGCGCAACGATAGCTTGAGATACAGTCCGTAAAGTTCTGTGTAAACCTGTTGTCCAATTTTTGTTGTCGGGTCCTCCAATTGTTTCAAAGCAAAGAGGGCCCGAGGAATTTATTGCAAAAATTAAGCTCAGAATTCGAAGGTTTGATCCCGGTTTTTTTACGCGGTTTGAGCGATTTAAACGTCACTTCCTCATCTTGTGGGTCTTGAGTTTACGAACCTCCCACCCCCACTGTCGTTTTTATGATGATGGATTTCAAACCCTCCACAATTTAACAAAGGGGCTCTTGTACGTGTACATTTGTACTCTGCAATCGTGAGCCTGTGTTCCTCGTGTGACCCTTTCAACTTGCTGTGTCTGCATCTCGCTGTGTAAAGAGCGCTGCAAAGCACTTCTTAAGGGATAGCAATTGCGTGTTGAATAATACCGCCTCACTCTTACTAGCTGTTGTTAATCCCAGTGAATGAATGTAACGCACGAGTTCCATTCAATCACGATGTTGATCGCACGCCACTCGTGTGTTTCAGAGTAACTTTGCGCGGCTCACGATACCGGCGGTCCAGACTGCAGGAAGTGACGTCACTGACCAGCAACGCGTTCGTTCCGTGCAGCTGATTAAACAAAGATTATTTTTAGAACTATGCTCTTTATTTGGGATAAAAAAAACTATTTAGTCGGTGAAAGAGTCATATCGAGGTGAATTTAAAATGCGTTTAACGATATCAGCATTGTTAATCACAAAGCGCAATGAACCCCATAGTGTAAATGTAGTACAAACATGTATTAATATATTATGCTGTGCGCGTTATGTAGCTTTCCTTAGGAAGGATCTTAAAGTTATGAATTTTTGCAAGGTTCTCGGCAAGCCTCGTTGTTTGGCGGAACCTGAATACAATTTCCAAATGCAGATGAATGTTTGCTTGCTTTAGTTCAACGTATTATATGCACATCAGGTGAATTAAGACTTTTATCTTACGGTAGATAACCCGTTTCATAAATTTTGCCACATCACAGGATGTCCTGTAACCTGCACAATTTAATAAGAAATTTCCCCACTTCGCCTTACAAAATTTGCCCGTGGTTTCAGTTTTGTTGATCAAATAAATACAGTATCTGCATGTACAGCACATATACTTGGGTCTTTAGGTAAAGTCACGTAGATACGTAAAAAAAACTACGACGTTTCATTCGTAGTTGTTTGTAAAAAAAAAATGTTGAACTTATCCACGTGACTTTACCGATGACCCAATTAAATGAATGTCTGCAGTCACGAAAGTTTTAAGTCAAAATGTACAGTAGTTACATTATTTGATTAACATGGCTCAGTATTGTTCTCAGAATCTGTATCTATCCTGGAGAAATCAGATGAGCAATGAAGCTCTTTTTTACAAATGTCATGTCTAGTAGGGGAAGTTCATGAAGTTTTTGCAACAGAAAACGACAAAAAACGACAGAGTGCAAAGTATAGGATAGCCAAGCAAATCACTAATAAGTATAACCCGTAAAAACAAAGTTTTTCACTCTAAATCCTTTATATGCGTGGCGGCTAGAGTCCTCTCGTCCTCTGGCTTGAGATGGCTGCCACCTATGGGTCAGATGATTGTCTGCAGTATTAAACAATTGGTAATTAAATATTTAATTTGTTTTCCCTAAACAGTGTAAAATTTAGGAAAAAATTTTCACGAACATTAATTGTCTCGCACAACGAGTCTGTGTGGAAAATGTCAGCTCGATTGGATCACGGGAAGTGGGTTAAAAAACGACCGAAAGGTTTGCACGGTCGTAAGCAAGCAAGCAAGCACGCAAGCGAACTTAATATAAGGATTTAAAAATAAATCAAGTACGTTATACGTACTTAGGTTTTTTTTCGATAAAGTCACGTAGGAAAAAATAAATAAAAAATAATGAAAATTATAGAAAACCTAAATTCTTTTATTTCTATTATTTTTTCTATAATTTTTATTATTTATTTTTTACCTACGTGACTTTACCGATTGTCGTTTTTATGATTACGGCTTTTAACCCCTCCACGATTTAACAAAGGGGCTGTTGTACGTGTACATTTGTACACTGCAATCGTGAGCCTGTGTTTCTCGTGTGACCCTTTCAACTTGCTGTGTATGCATCCCCACCCGGTCTCTGCATCTCGCTGTGTAAAGAGCGCTGCAAAGCACTTCTTAAGGGATATCAATTGCGTGTTGAACAATATCGCGTCACTCTTACAAGCTGTTGTTAATCCCAGTAAATGAATGTAACGCACGAGTTCCATTCAATCACGATGTTAATCGCACGCCACTCGTGTGTTTCAGAGTAACTTTGCGCGGCTCACGATACCGGCGGTCCAGACTGCAGGAAGTGACGTCTCCGATCAGCAACGCGTTCGTTCCGTGCAGCTGATTAAACAAAGATGATTTTTAGAACTATGCTCTTTATCTAGGGTTAAAAAACTATTTATTCGGTGAAAGAGTCATATTCAAATGGATTTTAAATCCGTTTAACGATGTCAGCATTGTTAATCACAAAGCGCAATATGAACCCCATAGTGTAAATGTAGAGCAAACACGTATTAATATATTATGCTGTGCGCGTTACTTAGCTTTCCTCATCCATGATCACAAAACTTTCTATTTTTGCAAGGTTCTCGGCAAGCCTCGTTGTTTGTCGGAACCTGAATACAATTTTCAAATGCAGTTGAATCTGTTTGCTTGCTTCAGTAATTCTAGATTTGAAGTTTTCATGACTGCAAGGATTCATACTCTTAGGTAGGTAAAAAAATTACTAAAAGTAATAATAGAAATTTTTTTATAAATCACGACGTTTCGGAGGCAACACAAGTCTCCGTCATCAGGTGCGACCAT